CCAAACACCATAAAATCAATGTATAAAAAAAATCCCCAGTGAACCAATCCATAAATTATTATTAGTGTAAAAAGTCCAACACCCCAACGAAATTTCTTCTTAAAACATATAAATACACCGTGCTCAATCCACCACCAGATGAATGGAATAAACTCACCAGAGCTCAATGATGATCAAATTATAAATCAGCACAAGCGTATTTGCTCTGGGAGCGATGAGAGAATCCAAAGAAGCAACACTCTGTAGTTTGAAATCGTCCAGATACCAGGAGCAATACTCTGCAGCCACTCTGAAGTATGGCCAGGACCCTTTATATATCGAGTCATCCTCCAAATATATGGCAATATCACTCAGAAATAAAGGAAAGGCATGATGGTGCAGTAAATAAAAATAAATATCTGAAAAGTGTGACATGCATTTGTATTCAGCCCTCTACTCTGATACCTCCTAACTAAAATCTAGTGGAACCAATTGCCTTCAAAAGTCACCTAATTGGTAAATAGAGTCAACCTGTTTGTAATTTAATCTAAGTATAAATACAGCTGTTCTGTGAAGCCCTCAGAGGTTTGTTAGAGAACATTAGTAAACAAACAGCGTAACAAAGGCCAAGGAAAACACTAGACAGGTCAGGGATAAAGGTGTGGAGACGTTTTAAAGCAGGGTTAGGTTCTACAAAATATCCTAAGCTTTTAACATCTCACAGAGCACTGTTCAATCCATCATCCGAAAAATGAAAAGAGTATGGCACAACTGCAAACCTACAAAGGCATGGCCGTCCATCTAAACTGACAGGCCGGGCAAGGAGAGCATTAATCATAGAAGAGGCCCATGGGAACTCTGGAGGAGCTGCAGAGATCCACAGCTCAAGTGGGAGAATCTGTCCACAGGACAACTATTAGTCGTGCGCTCCACAAATCTGGCCATTATGGAAGAGTGGCCAGAAGAAAGACATTGTTGAAAGAAAGCCATAAGAAGTCCCATTTGCAGTTTGCGAGAAGCCATGTGGGGGACACAGCAAACGTGTGGAAGAAGGGGCTCTGGTCAGATGAGACCAAAATTGAACTTTTTGGCCTAAAAGCAAAACGCTGTGTGGCGGAAAACTAACACTGCACATCACCCTGAACACACCATCCCACCGTGAAACATGGTGGTGGCGGCATCATGTTGTGGAGATGCTTTTCTTCAGCAGGGACAGGGAAGCTGGTCAGAGTTGATGGGGCGAGGGATTGAATCAAATACAGGGAAATCTTATTGGAAAACCTGTTAGAGTCTGCAAAAGCCTTGAGACTGGAACGGAGGTTCACCTTCCAGCAGGACAACGACCCGAAACATCCAGCCAGAGCTACAATGGAATGGTTTAGATCAAAGCATATTCATGTGTTTGAATGGCCCAGTCACAGTCCAGACCTAAATCCAATGAGAATCTGTGGCAAGACTTGAAAATTGCTGTTCACAGACGTTCTCCATCCAATCTGACAGAGTTTGAGATATTCTGCAAAGAAGAATGGGCAGAAATGTCCCTCTCTAGATGTGCAAAGCTGGGAGAGACATTCCCAAAAAGACTTGCAGCTGGAATTGCAGTGAAAGGGGGTCCTACAAAGTATTGACTCCGGGGGGACTGAATACAAATGCTGCCACACTTTTCACAGATTTATCTGTAAAAAATTTTGAAAACCATTTTATCTTTTTCCTTCCAGTTTACAATTATGTGCCTCATAGTGTTGGTCTATCACATCCAATCCCAATAAAATACATTTACGGTTTTGGTTGACAAAATGTGGGATGAATACTTTTTCAAGGCATTGTACTATACCTGGCTGATGCCCCAGGAAGCTGGAAATCGCTGTATAGCCCAGGGTTTCATGGAACCTTGGGGTCCTCCAGAGGTTGCTAGGGGTTCCTTGAGCAATGAGCGTTTTCTGCCTCTCAGATAAGTTACCAACGACTCCAATGATCTTTTTACCTATCTGTAAGGGGGAATTCTTGCAAATAACCACAAGTGTCAGGAGCATTCTTCCCACTGACCATCACACTAATTTATCATGAGTTGTAGATATACCGGTAGTAATTTTTAGCAAGGGTTCCTTTACAGAAGGGTTCCTCTGTGAAGAAAAGATTGAGAGAGGCTGGTATAGACACCGCTAGCTTCCGGTTCCTACGACAGATAGCTGCCCTACTGTATTCTGAACACAGGAGTTCGGCTCTCAGCACTGGCACTATTTAGAGAATGCTTTGCATTTTCTGAATGAATGCAAGCATTCTGATTGGGTGAGGTGGAGAGTGTGATGTCACCACCCCACCTCTCCACCTCATCCAGTCAGAGAACACTGTGCATTCATTGAGTTAATGCAAAGCATTTTCTAACTGGCACCCCTTCCGAGGAGCCAACCCCCATGTGTTCAGAATACAGTAGGGCAGCCACTCAGCATGGAACCCGAAATCTACTGGAGATGACTGGAGTAGCGGTGTATGTGAAATGTGTAGCACAATCAACAATGTGTTTATGTTGTTATGTGGGGGCAGGCTCAGTTTTGTTGAGGGGAGGGTTTAAGTGCTTGGGTGTAACTTTATTATTTAAAGTGATAAACCTTCCATTATTTATTATTAAAATAATAAACATAATAAACTTGCCTGCTCTGTGCAGTGCTTTTGCACAGAGTAGCCTCTTCTCTGGTCCCCGGCAGGCGCTCCTGGCCCAGCTCCTCCCACCACTATGGAAAGCCGCTTTTTCCATGGGGGCACTCATGCAGAATCTGCAGCATCACTCCGGAGCCTCCCTATCTGTGTCTATTGACACAGACAGCAGGGCTTGGCCCCGCCCCCCCTCTTCCCTCATCACTGGATTTGATTGGCAGGATCTGCTATCAATCTGCCCAGTGAGGAGGGGGAGAGCTGCTGCACAGCACGGGATCAACATCGGGCTCAGGTAGGTATAAGCTTGGGAGGGGGGAGTCTGTGACACAAAAGGTCTTTTATCTTAATGCATTAAGGTAAAAAAAAACCTTGAAGCTTTAGAACTACTTTAATATCTTTATTGAGACCTGATATCTCACCTAGGGGAGAATGTCACCAGGACACCGAGGATCACCAATATGGGTCCAAACGTTTTAATGAACGAGCACATAGTTACAGCAAGACAACGTTTTGGAGTCTCTAGGTACCCCATAGGTTCATGTCACATGACTGATGAAGGGGTCCTATGAGACTCCGAAATGTTGTGATCATTCATTAAAACTTTTGGACCCATATTGGTGATCCTCTGTGTGCTGGTGACAGTCTCCCTTGCTGATTCTGTTCGGTTCCAGCCGACGGTCGCTTCAGCACCCACTTATACACACAGCCATTTTTAACGCAGGAACGTGTGCGTTTGGATTGTACACTTGCATTCTGATATTATAAATGGAAGAACTTCCTGCGCTAAGAATGGGGCCCTATTCACCAAGCTGCTGACACAAACCTCCTTACCAAAATGAGTGAATACACATAAATTTAAAGTGCAGCGCTATCCCTAAACTTACTAAATAAATATAAAGTGCAACCTAACTGTTCAAAGTGTAACAGTGCTCTAAATAATACCACAAGGTACTAAACCTATGTGCAAAATGTGCAATTACAAAAATGTGCAACCCCTGTTCTCCCAAATGGGAATAAAGTGCAATTAGTGACAATCGCTAACAGAAAATCACTGCAAACATCTGTTGTAAGAAAATAAGTCCATAAGGAAAATTAAAGTGTCCAAATACAACATAAGGAACTTTCAATCTTCATGCATGTGATCACACGTGTCCACACTGTGTGAATCCAAACAATAGCTGTAGTGGCCCCTCACCTCTTTGCCAAGACCCCACAGGGTCAGCTCGCTTTAAACCAGGACACCATTGTGGTGACTCACCAGGTCCTCCCCCGCCTCTTACACTCTATCAGCAGTCTCCTCCTCGGTTCATATATAGACAAAAAACTCACATAGTATAATCCTGTTTATTCTTCAGAAATAAATATATAATAAAATTGCCCACTCACATTTCAATTCTTCTCATCACAAGCCTTCAATACCCAATGCTATGAATCTCCTGCATGGGTATTTAGATACAGGGATTTCAAGTATGGCCGGAAATGACGTCACCGCGCTCCCAGAATCCTCCTCGCATTCCGACGCGTTGCGTCCCGGTAACACGTGACTTCCTCAGGGTTTATTTAGTAAATTTAGGGATAGCGCTGCACTTTATATTTATTTGCATTCTGATATCTCATCTGTCCCCCCCATTGAAACGAATGCTCCCTAGATACCATAGTCAGAAAAAATGACCGATAAACCCAGAAATGCTGTAATACATGTCAGTTCCAGGTTCTAACCTTCCCTCTACCCAGCAGCATTTGCCATGCTAGTCCTGGGACAACTGTACAGCTGCTGGATCGATGCCACCTGACAGTCGGCTTGTCAGATTTACATACATACATTTTTCACTTTCAAAATTTTTGTTATTGAAAAAGGGTTAATAGTATTGTATAGAGAGTACATATTGATTTACTTACACAGTGTTTGTAAACTCCTCGCCCCTCACCGCTTCTGCCAACATATGCCATACATCAGTGGCAGCAAAAGAGTTAAACATGCTGCAAGTACAGATAATGATTGTTGATTTGTCAGAAGTATAGTGTGCTCCTGATTTCTCTGTGACGTGACAACATAGCTTTTAATTCCTAAGCATGTGGTGTCAACCTTGCCTACTTATTTTCTGCTGGATTACAAAGATCTCCGACACTGCCTCATCTCCTCCCCTGTCTTCCCCTCCATATATCCTCCTTGTGTACAGGCAGAGAGCGCAGGAAGTGATCAGATCACAGGTTTTCTGGCAAAATTCCCAGTTATTTTTGCATCTATAAAATAGATATAACAAAATAACCTCAATGGTATAATTAGACCAAAATGGAGCAGACATAAAGAGTTCATTGTTGTAGGTTACTTACTCTTTAACTCGTTTTTCTTTTTTTTTCTTTAGCTTTCCATTGATATTGGTACAGAAGTGAAATACCACAATAAAGTACTGGGAGAGATGGTGAGTATTCGGTACCAGATCTATATTGAGGCCTGCACCACTCTCCCCACTCCATCCGTTGTATGATGAAAGCTTAGATATCATGGGTGGCTATATGGAATTATGTTCTTTTTTTAGTAGGCATACAATAACACATCAGGAGTTCTGACAGGAGTGTGAACACTACGATAATCTTAAAGTGGAACTAAACTGCACTAATAAAAAAATTTGAGCAGGAAGTTTTTTATTTAACCCATTCACGACGAGCGTATGCAAATATTCAGCATCTCGGCGGTTGGGCCTTGACATCGAGTGGCAGCATATTTGCGTACTGCTTGCAAACAAACATGCTGAGAGCGCACGCCCTGCATTCTCCCAGCACATGTATCAGTGTTCCACTGTAAGGTCCAGACCTCTTGTTCCGATCGGGACCTTTTCTGATCATGTGACTGCCATGACAGCCAATCACGGTGGTCACATGACCCTAAACGCCTCCCAGCCTTAGAAACCCCTTAAAGGGCTGCGAGGTGCAGGCACAAAGGGGTTAAACATGCACAAACAATCACACCTACGTGTGTACTAAAACAATGTATATCTTATAATGATGTAAATATTGTTCAAAAGTCATAAAGTGCTGTATAAAACCCTAAATTGCCTAAAAGTGCTAATAAAAATTTGTAAAGTGCAACAAAGCATTCAGAAAGTGCCAATGCCTCATATAAAGTGCAGGTTAAAAGTTGTGCTCCCACAAAAGAATAGTGACATATATCGCATATAGAGCAACAAAGGAGTCCATGAAAAAAGGTTTCCAACCACAAAGGGGAAGAAAAAAGAAAAGAATGGTCTTTTATCAGGTGCTGGTCACAGGACCACCTTTCAACTCCCAAACTTTGAATGTGACACCCCCCCCCCCACTCCTCAGGCATGGCAGGCTTACCAGACAAATTGCAACCCTCAGCAAAATAGTGGTTGTTGAGATCTGGTTTATCTCAGGTAGGTATGAACACTCTCTGGTATCTCCAATTCTTTAACCCCTCAAGAGAATTGGGGCAGGAAAGTGCAGCACTCCTCCACACCTCACTGGGACTGGCAACTCGCCCACGGATCGGGTCGGTGGAATCGATCATGCATCATGTGCCGGTACACCTCGGCTGATAGCTGGTCTGTCTGTTGAATCAGCCCGGTGAGGTAATGAATCTCTTTATTGCAGAAGAGACCTATGTGTCTCTTCTGCTATAACAAACATTCACCTGCCTGTTCACCGTCTTCTCCTGAATACACATTAAGCTGCCCATGAATAGCCGACTCCCATGAACATGTGGAAGATGATGTCATTTTCCAGCTGTTCAATCAAGAGGTTAAAAACCCGGCAACTGGACATAGCCGGAGGGGAGATAGCAGCTGGTGAGGGATTTAATCGCCACTTCATTGGAATGAGAAGGGTATTTCTGTGAGTTTACTTCCCTTTTAATGCAAAGCTATTTCAGGCTTTAAAAAGTTAAAAGACAACATGAAGTGAAACAAAGTTTAATAGCTCCAGTTATTTTTTTTTATTTGCCAAAGTCAGAGTTGCATGAGTAGCTAATGCATTTCAGGGGTTCTTCAGTCCCCCTTCATCAGGGCTTGTAGTTGTAGAACAAGGCGAGGGAGTACTGTGAAATCGTTATAAAGAATCTGTTAGTGTGTAGGAAGGCTTATTTAGGGTGCAGGTCTGACTCCATGCTTGGCTCCCTCAATGAGCTTTTTTTTTTTAATCATTTCATGTGGATCCTGTGTACCACCTAGTCTTTTATACTGCTACTACAAGCCCTAATGAAGGGGGGCTGGTGACATCCTGAAACTGGTTGGCTGTTGTAGTGACTCCATCTTTGCGCAATAAACATTGAAGTGTTTACTAAACCCACAGCAGTACAATCAGTTGGTATATGCAGTAAAGCATGCTTGTTATACTCACTGTGGAACCTAAATGGGTTAATCATCTTCATTGTGTAAAAACACAGTTTGATCCTGTCTTCTCTGATCCTCCTTTTTTTTCCCAGTGTCCCCCTCTTATCTCCTGATAAGACATATTATTATTATACAGGAGTTATATAGCGCCAACAGTTTGCTCAGCGCTTTACAATATAAAGGGAGACAATACAGTTCAATACAAGAGGGTTAGGAGGGCCCTGCTCCTTGGAGCTTACAACCTGAGAAATATCATGTGGAGTCACTCTGCACATGCTCAGTTTGGTGTGTATTGCTAGAGAGGTGCACGTGATCATCACAGGGCCAATCAGCACTGTCCAGACAGAGGTCAGGGGTCCTGCATCATCCTAGAGCAGAATGAAAACTCCTCCTACAAGCTTTAACATGTTCTGTGCTGGACACTGATAGAAGTCACAAGACAGCTATATACTGCTGATGAGAAAAGGTATTTAGCAGTTTATATTTACTACAATAATTGCATTTCCATGTTCTGTGTACTGTGGGAGACTAGATACAGTGAATGCAGGGTCCGGGGAGACCGGATATAGTGAATGCAGGGTCTGGGGAGACCAGATATAGTGAATGCAGGGTCCGGGGAGACCAGATATAGTGAATGCAGGGTCCGAGGAGAGCAGATATGGTGACTGCAGGGTCCGGGGAGACCAGATATAGTGAATGCAGGGTCCGAGGAGAGCAGATATGGTGACTGCAGGGTCCGGGGAGACCGGATGTAGTGACTGCAGGGTCCGGGGAGACCGGATATAGTGAATGCAGGGTCCGGGGAGACCGGATATAGTGACTCCGCGGGTGTCCGGGGTCCGGGGAGACCGGATATAGTGACTGCGGGGTCCGGGGAGACCGGATATAGTGACTGCGGGGTCCGGGGAGACCGATATAGTGAATGCGGGATCCGGGGAGACCGGATATAGTGAATGCGGGGTCCGGGGAGACGGATATAGTGACTGCGGGGTCCGGGGAATGTGACTGCGGGGTCTGGGGAGAGCGGATATAGTGACTGCGGGGTCCGAGACCGGATATAGTGACTGCGGGGTCCGGGGAGACCGGATATAGTGACTGCAGGGTCCGGGGAGAGCCGGATATAGTGACTGCGGGGTCCGGGGAGACCGGATATAGTGAATGCAGGATCCGGGGAGACCAGATATAGTGAATGCAGGGTCCGGGGAGAGCGGATATAGTGAATGCAGGGTCCGGGGAGAGCGGATATAGTGAATGCAGGGTCCGGGGAGAGCGGATATAGTGACTGCAGGGTCTGGGGTTTAGTAACACTTTAATTGGACCTGTTAAATTCAGTTGGAATTCTCCAGAGCTTTTTTAGTCAGAATATAGGTGCAGGTATTCCCTGCCATCCAGGGCAGAGTAACAATGCAGCATGTGCACCAAATGGTGGGTGTGGCTAAATTGCACCAACAGATGGAGGCTCCTAATGGGGGAATTGGTAAATACAACCTGAACCTACTCGCGGTATCCATGGCACACGTGTACAGTACCCCCCCATCCTAGTACAGAGCTCTCCTTCAACTCCCCCTCTTTCCTACACAGTGCGAGAGTGGGGCTGCTGCAGAAGAGCAGTTAGACCTCAGATCTGAGAGTGAAATCCTCAGTATCAGCAGGGAGCCATAGCTACATGAGGATCCGCTGCCACCAAACTGGGGCAACTTTTTATATAACTTGCATCCCCTCCTCTGATGTGATAGGGTAGGAGCAGGGAAAAGCTACCAGGTGAGAACGGGGCCAGTGTCTGAGGTGACAGTTTGGAGTACCACTGTGTTCTGACTGGCAAAAAAGCCCCTCACTGCTTTATCATCCTTTTTTTTTTTTTTTTTTTTTTTTTTGCATCACTATTAAAAGGGACCTCTGTTGGTTTCTTCTGTTTTCCAGAGAGCTGACCCCACTACATAGTTAGTCTGGCTGAAATAAGACAAAAGTCCAATCCAGTTCAACCACCAAAAAAAGTTATAATCCTATACCCACAGTTGATCCAGAGGAAGGCAAAAAAACCCAGCAAAGCATCCAATTTGCTCCTGCTGTGATAAAAATTCCTTCCTGATCCCCCGAGAGACAATCGGATATTCCCTGGGTCAACTTTACCTATAATTGTTAGTATCCAGTTATATTCTGTGTATCTAAGAAACAATCCAGGACTCTTGAGGGAGTCTATTCCACATTTTCACAGCTCTCACTGTGAAGAAACCTTTCCGTGTTTTGAAGATTACATTTCTTTTCCTCCAGACGTAAAGAGCGCCCCCTTGTCCTCTGTGATGACCTCAGGGGGGATAACTCTACACCGAGCTCACTATATGAACCACTGATTATATACATGGAGATCATATCCCCCCTTATGTATTATACATGGAGATCATATCCCCCCTTATGTATTATACATGGTGATCATATCCCCCCTTATGTATTATACATGGTGATCATATCCCCCTTATGTATTATACATGGTGATCATATCCCCCCTTATGTATTATACATGGAGATCACATCCCCCCTTATGGATTATACATGGAGATCACATCCCCCCTTATGTATTATACATGGTGATCACATCCCCCCTTATGTATACATACATGGAGATCATATCCCCCCTTATGTATTATACATGGAGATCATATCCCCCCTTATGTATTATACATGGAGATCATATCCCCCCTTATGTATTATACATGGTGATCATATCCCCCCTTATGTATTATACATGGTGATCATATCCCCCCTTATGTATTATACATGGAGATCAGATCCCCCCTTATGTATTATACATGGTGATCATATCCCCCCTTATGTATTATACATGGAGATCATATCCCCCCTTATGTATTATACATGGTGATCATATCCCCCCTTATGTATTATACATGGTGATCATATCCCCCCTTATGTATTATACATGGTGATCATATCCCTCTTATGTATTATACATGGAGATCATATCCCCCCTTATGTATTATACATGGAGATCATATCCCCCCTTATGTATTATACATGGTGATCATATCCCCCCTTATGTATTATACATGGTGATCATATCCCCTTATGTATTATACATGGTGATCATATCCCTCTTATGTATTATACATGGTGATCATATCCCCCCTTATGTATTATACATGGAGATCATATCCCCCTTATGTATTATACATGGTGATCATATCCCTCCTTATGTATTATACATGGAGATCATATCCCCCCTTATGTATTATACATGGAGATCATATCCCCCCCTTATGTATTATACATGAGATCATATCCCCCCTTATGTATTATACATGGAGATCATATCCCCCCCTTATGTATTATACATGGAGATCATATCCCCCCTTATGTATTATACATGGATGATCATATCCCCCCTTATGTATTATACATGGATCATATCATGTATTATACATGGTGATCATATCCCCCCTTATATATTATACATGGAGATCATATCCCCCCTTATGTATTATACATGGTGATCATATCCCCCCTTAATCTCCTCTTCTCAAGAGAGAATACATTCAGTTTCTCTAATCTTTCCTCATAGCTGAGCTCCTCCATGCCTCTTATCAGTTTGGTTGCCCTTCTCTGTACTTTCTCCAGTTCCCCAATGTTCTTTTTGTGAATTGGTGTTCAAAACTGAACTGCATATTCCAGATGAGGTCTTACTAATGATTTGTACCGGGGAAATGATATCTCTCTCTCTGGAGTCTATACCTCTCCTAATACAAGAGAGGATTTTGCTCGCTTTAGAAGCCACAGCTTGGCATTGCTGCCATTATTAAGCTTGTGATCTACCAGAACCCCCAGATCCTTCTCCACCATTGATTCCCCCAGTTGTACCCCCCTAGTATGTATGATGCATCCATATTCTTAGCCCCCAAGTGCAGAACCTTACATTTATCAACATTAAACCTCATTTGCCACATAGTTGCCCAATTAAACAGAGCATTGAGGTCGGCTTGCAAGTTAGAGACATCCTGTAAGGATGTTATTCCACGGCACAGCTTGGTGTCATCTGCAAAGACTGAAATGGGGTTTATAATCCCAGACCCTATATTGTTTATAAATATATTAAAAAGTAAGGGTCCCAACACTGAACCTTGGGGTACACCACTGACACCCCTAGACCATTCAGAGTATGAATCATTAACCACTACTCTTTGAATTCCATCTTTTAGCCAGTTTTCTATCCATTTCACATACAGATTTTTCCAAACCTGTAGACTTTACCTCACACATTAGCCATGTGTGGGGAACTGTGTCAAACGCTTTTGCAAAATCAAAGTATACCACGTCCACCGCCACCCCCCTCTGTCCACGTGTACCACGTCCACCGCCACCCCCTCTGTCCACGTGTACCACGTCCACCGCCACCCCCTCTGTCCACGTGTACCACGTCCACCGCCACCCCCTCTGTCCACGTGTACCACGTCCACCGCCACCCCCTCTGTCCACGTGTACCACGTCCACCGCCACCCCCTCTCTCCACGTGTACCACGTCCACCGCCACCCCTCTGTCCAAGTATACCACGTCCACCGCCACCACCCCTCTGCCCAAGTATACCACGTCCACCGCCACCCCTTTGTCCAAGGTTTTGCTCACCTCCTCATAAAAAGAAATCAGATTTGTTTGACAACTTCTGTCTTTCATGAATCCATGCTGTCTGTTGCTTAAAATATTTTTTTCCAGCAAGAACTCATCTATGTGGTCTTTTATTAAACTCTCCAATATCTTCCCAACTATAGAAGTTAAACTAACAGGTCTGTAATTACTTAAGATTTTGACCTCTCCAATCCAGTGGTACTATGCCAGTCATTAGAGAGTCCCTAAATATTTGAAACAATGGCTTTTAAATAACAGAACTCAGTTCTTTAAGGACCCGTAGGTGTATGCCATCCGGTCCAGGTGCTTTATTCACCTTTATACTGTCTAAATATTTTTGGATCGTATCAATTGTGAGCCAATGTGGATCATCTGGAGCTGTGTCAATACCATCTCCATTATGGACAAGAGCTCCCCCATGCTCCTTTGTATACACAGAGCTGAAGAAGGGATTTGATAAATTTTCCTTCTCTTTGTCCCCAGTCACCCACTCCAGATTATTTTGTAAAGGGCCTACATGCTCGGACCGGACCTTTTTACTATTAATATATTTGTAGAATTTTTGGGGGTTGGTCCTGCTATCTTTTGCAATCTGTCCTTCATTTTCAATTTTTGCGGCCTTTATTTCCTTTTTACATATTCTGTTATATTCTTTGTAATGTTTAAGCGATGATAACGTTCCTTCATTTTTATATTTAATAAAGGCTCTTTTCTTATTATCTATAGCTTTTTTAACTTTGACCGTAAGCCACATATGTTTGATTTTTAGCTTTTTAAACTTGGTGCCCATGGAACTATATATTTTGCAGTCTGTTCATATACAGTCTTTTTGAAGAACTCCCATTTCTGTGTTGTGTTCAATATTCCCTCCCAGTCTAAGTCTTGGAGAGCAGCTCTCAGCCTTGGAAAATTAGCTCTCTTAAAGTTGAGCGTTTTTATTTTCCCGTATGTCCTCGCTGTTTACAGCTAACAATAAATGAAATCATGTTATGGTTACTGCTACCCAGATGTTCTTTTATATGGACATTTGTAATAAGCTCTGCATGGTTTGAGATTACCAGGTCCAGCAGAGCATCATTCCTAGTAGGGGCTTCTATGAACTGTACCATAAAATTGTGCTGTAGTAGGTTTAAAATTTTTTGCCCTTTAACTGTTCCTGCAGTACCATTACTCCAGTCAATTTCCGGGTAGTTAATATCCCCCATTATTATTACTGTTTCAGCCCTTTCGATCTGTGCAAGGAGCTGAGTATCATTAACATTAACACTGGGAGGCCTATAACAAACTCCAATGATTACCTTTGTACTACACACCCCCATGAGCAGTTCCACCCATAATACTTCAGCCTCATCACACTCTCCATCAACTAGGTCCTCTTTCACACTTTCTCTGAGATCATTTCCTATTTACTCTGTCTCTACATGCCTGCAAATTATTCTTTACACTAGTGTCCAGTCCTCCACCAACACTTCACACTTGGGCTTTAAATAGTATATGTAGCAGAACAAAAGGGAGCAAATTAGAGTTGATTGTCAGGCTTTATATGAATAGCAACTTAAAACATTGAAGGCAAAGCACAGAAGAACAGGTACTTTCAGTGTTTACTTACAATATTTATTATTTTTCCATTTTTTTTTTTTTTTTTTTTTTACTTGCAGTGTGCTTTTAATGTTGCTAGTGTTCCTGGAATAGCCAGTTCCCTAGCACAGCCCTCTCCCTGCTTGCTTGACATATCTCTTTCTCCTTTTTGGGAGTGTTGAATTTCTGTCTGTGCTGGCCCAGCTCCTTCCCCACATGTTTTTATTTTTGGGGGGGGGGAGCTGTAGAGAGAGGAGTGAAAGGAAAGACTATAGTGTACCCCTTAAGTCTCCTTGGGCTGTTGATAACACATCTAAGGGGACAGTGCTCAGATGCAGTCACTGGGCTTTTGAGGCTTTTACAGGTAAATAGCATGCATAAAGTACATTCATTGCATATATAATTATATGGGGGAGGTTGTTGTGGAAATGAATGGTCTGTCAGCATGGTCTCTTTTAAATAGACATATTTTAGATATGATGCTGCCTTATTTCACACAAGTGGGTCATAAAGTATGAAAACCATAGGTTCATTTTGATAGCCAGGCAACTGACATTTTTAGAAGGAGGTTGGCAATGGCAGTCGTTCTTAGTTAGGGGCACACATGTCCTCTGAGCCTTCCAGAAGCCTCCTGTGAACTGATCATTTCTGAGCATGCTTTAGATACATACCAGCCATTGAGGATGTTCTCTGGGGCACTGCAGGAAGCATCTGTGATTTTAGGGGTTCTATGTGGTCCAATCTTTAGCAGGCTGACTGATTCCTCTTTTTAATGTTTATTTCCAGGATTCGGACTTTGACTCCACAGGCGGTATCCTGGGCTCCACGATGGGCCGACTGAAAACCCTCTCCAGAGGCAGCCAGACCAAACTTCTTTGCTACATGATGCTTTTTGCTTTTTTTGTCTTCTTTGTCATTTATTGGTTTGTGAAGCTTAGGTGATAATTTTGTATATATTTTTTAATTAAATATTGTGCCACTGTTGTAAGTCTTTGATTATTTTTTTTTCATAGCCTATATAATTTAATTTTCTGGCACACCTTTGATAAGGCAGGGCTGTGATCTTGTTCCTTTAAGCCTGCACAGCCTCTTAAGTATATGCACTGAAGACTCTACAGTTCTTTTTGGGTTTTTTTTTTGCGTTATGATGTTAAATACGTACAAATGGTGGAATTTGGCTTTAAAGATCCCCTTTGAATATGCAAGGTGACACGGTGGGATTTACTAAAATTGGAGCACTCAGAATCCGGTGCGGCTGTGCATGGTAGCCAATCGGCTTCTACCTAAGTTTCAAGTGGCTACCTGTTTTATGCTGCTTTTGTTTTTGTTTTTTTGTGCTGCTTTTTTTGTTTTTTTGCTGCCTCTCCAGTCAGCAACTGCTGAGATAAAATCTCATTCTATACATTGCTTTAAAGAAACTCTGGGGGGGATTTACTAAAACTGGTGCACTCAGAATCTGGTAGCAAATCCCCTTCTAACTTCAGGTTGTTCAATTAAGCTTTGACATTAAAACTTGGAAGCTGATTGGTGCACCAGATTTTGCACTCTCTGTTTTAGTAAATCAAACCCAAAGTAACTTCTAAAGACCACCCTGCGACCACATGGTAGATACTTCTTTCTCTTTGTAGCCACCACTAAAATACCCAATTTGGAGCCTAGAGGGATTAGTGATGTCACCCCCTTCATCATGTGACAGTGCTCAATTGGCTGGTAGCCCCAAGCAGTGCATCTTAGTTGGGGGTCACATGTTCCACCATTACTGGAAATGTAAACTATTTTGCAGTGGTGGCCACCTAGAAAGGAATAGGGTCGGGGCAGTGCTAAGAGAGGAGTTTAAAGTGGACGGGTAAACGAAGGGGCACAGGCTAGGATCTGTTGATAGTCCACCACACTTGCTGCCTCCCCTTTGCAAGAGCCCACTTTACCCTGGTAGCTAAAGGGTCCCACACTAATAGGGCTTTGATGGAAGTCGCATGAAAGCATGGATGGTTGAGAATACCTTGCTGGGGGGAGCTATCAGGAGGCACTGTCGCTCTCCTAAAAACCTACAAAGGGCCATGCTCTGCTAGATCTGTATTTGCTAGACTGTCTGTTTTTTTTTAACGGGAACTTGCCATGGTAAAAAAATAAGAAGCACTATTGCAGATCTCTTTTTAATGTCATCTTTATCCTTGCATAATTAACCAATAAATGACTAAATTGGAACAGGCTGTGTAGCTAACACAGAATCCTGTCTAGTATTATCCACTGTAAAGCAGTGGATTTAAAACTAATTGCCAAAAGTATTGGTCAGCCTGCCTTGACACACACATGAACTTCCCATTCTTGGTCCGTAGGGTTCAATATTGAGTTGGCCCCGCCCTTTTGCAGCTATAACAGCTTCATTTCTTCTGGGAAGGCCGTCCACAAGGTTTAGGAGGGTGTCTATGGGAAGGTTTGACCATTCTTCCAGAAGCACATTTGTGAGGTCAGGCACTGATGTCGGACGAGAAGGCCTGGATCGCAGTCTCTGTTCTAATTCATCCCAAAGGTGTTCTGTTGGGTTGAGGTCAGGACTCTGTGCAGGCCAGTCAAGTTCCTCCACCCCAAACTTGTTCATCCAGGTCTTTATGGACCTTGCTTTGTGCACTGGTGTGCAGTCATGTTGGAACAGGAAGGGGCCATCCCCAAACTGTTCCCATAAATCTGGGACCATGAAATTGGCCAACATGTCTTGGTATGCTGACACCTTAAGAGTTCCTTTCATTATAACTTAAGGGGCCAACCCCAACCCCACACCATAATTCCCCCCTCCACCAAACTTTACACTTGGCACAATGCAGTCAGGCAAGTAGCGTTGTCCTAGCAACCACCAGACCCAGACACGTCCATCACATTGCCAGACAGAGAAGCGTGATTCATCATTTCAGAGAACATATCTCCACTGCTCTAGAGTCCAGTGGCAGCATGCTTTACACCACTGCATCCGACGCTTTGCATTGCACTTGGTGATGTAAGGCTTGGATGCAGCTTCTCGGCCATGGAAACCCATTCCATGAAGCTCTCTGCACTGTTGTTGTGATAATCTGAATGCCACATGAAGTTTGGAGGTCTTTAGTTATTGACTCTGCAGACAGTTGGCGACTTCTGCGCACTGTGTGCTTCATCATGTGCTGACCCCGCTGTAATTTTTCGTGGCTGAGTTGTTGTTCCCAGTTGCTTCCACTTTGTTATAATCCCACTAACAGTTGAGCGTGGAATATTTAGTAGCCAGGAAATGTCACGGATGGACTTATTGCACAGGTGGCAACCTATCACGGTACCACGCTTGGAGTCACTGAGCTCCTGACAGCGACCCATTCTTTCACCAATGTTTGTAGAAGCAGTCTGCATGCCTAGGGGATGATTTTATACACCTGTGGCCATGGAGGTGATTGGAGCACCTGAATCCAATGATTTGGAGAGGGGTGCCTCAGTACTTTTTTCAATATATTGTATCTCACTAATGGCTATTGCAGGCCATAGATGGGTCGAAAATCGGCCGATTTCTCGGCCGAAAATAAAATCGGCCGATTTTCGGATCGTTAGTGGGCTAATTGTTCGGCCGTTTTTCGGCAGATTTTTTTTATCGTAAAGTTGGAAAAAATCGGCCGATTTTGCCGATCGGACGATTTTCGCGGCAATAAAAAAAATCTGCGCATGAGCAGTGACCTGCAAGAGGAAGACAAAAAGAAGAATTCCAGTCTGGCAAAAAGTGTCCCTGCAGAGAGCTCCGCTATTTCTTTGACAGTTATAGCGGTTGCAACAATGTATCTATTTGTTTCCGAATAAAAACATCTGTATCCGAAATGGATACAAATAGATACATTGTTGCAACCGCTATAAATGTCAAAGAGAACTGTCAAAGAAATAGCGGAGCTCTCTGCAGGGACACTTTTTGCCGGCTGTAGATGGGCTGAAAATTGGCCTTTTTTTTTTTTTTTTTTTTTACGTTACCGTTCCTGGTAACGTCGGCCGCTTGAACGACCGATTTTTCGTTTTTTTTAAAGAAAAATCGTCCGGTTTTCTCCCCATCTACTTAGCCACAAGTTATATTTATAGTTTAAAGCTGGCCATAGATGGGTAACATTTTGAATGAAAATACTTAGGAAAAGAATGTTCTAAGAAAGTTTTTTTTCGTTTTTTTTAATCATTTGTTGGGTCAAATCGACATTCCATTTAGAGCACAGTGATGGGAAAATTTGAAGGAACAGGATAGAAATGTTTTCTCAAAGGAATGAATTTCTAACCGTGCATGCGGTTTTCATAAAGTAAAATATTTTTTTTTCCCAAATGAAACGTTAAAAGTAAATAGTCTTTAGAACAACAAATTTACGTTCTGAGAATATTCATACAAATTTTCATAAGACTTTTCCTAAGAATTTTCGTTTTGAAATTTTATCCATCTACGTCCAGCTTTAGAACATCCCCTGCTGTCAGGTGGAGTCATCAAGACTGCAGATTGCAGTAACATCATTCCCTGGTTTGTACTTTATCTCCTTAAAGCTTTATTTGGTTAAGAAGCATATTTATTGCAAAGCAGGAAACTGGGAAATGTTGCTTTGTGTGACAAAGGGGTATCAGCTGGAATTCAGCAGGACTTTGATGGCTCTTTGATGGAGAGGTCTGTAGGAGTGGTACAGTTATTGGAGCTGAACGGAAGAGATCATCATTGGGTCTTCCTTACCATAAATCTATAGGAAGCGGATGATGATGATGGAAGTGGCACTTCTGCCTGAAGGTTAATGATCCAAGGAAAATATGGAGGAGTCGTCTGTAAATCATTTTCTAATTATAGGAGGATATGAAGGATCAGAAGTGTTGTGATGAAGAAGCTCTGTCTCCGGCCTATATAAGATGTGATATTTTTTTTTTTTTTCTCCAAGAAAATATATTTCAAAGATATAAAATATGTTTTGTTGTGGCAAAGCATTGCAGACATTAAACTTTTTATGGTTTTAGTCTGATTATATTTTATTGATTGTAGATTATACCCAGGAAGCTTTTGTTGGGAGTTCTCTCACCTGCTTCCTTCCTCTTATACAATCACAGAAAGTTTGTTTATGTTTCCGAAAGTAATGGCTTTTTTTTTCATTTTTAATTCGCATACAGCCTGCATTTAGTTTTGCATAGGTAGGGTTGAAGTGTTACTAAACCCACAACAGTACAATCAGTCTGTATATGCAGTACAGCATGCTTGTTATACTCACTGTGGAACCTAAGGGGTTAATCCTCCGCATTGTGTAAAAAGGCTGTTTGAGCTGAACTTCTCTGATTCTCTTCTTCCAGTGTCCCCCTCAACTCATGATAAGACATATGTGGAGACACTGCACATGCTCAGTTTAGTGTGTATTACTAGAGACATTTTTGTTTTCTTTGGAGAGTACATGTGATCAGCACAGGACCAATCAGCACTATCCAGACAGAGGTGAGAGGTTCTGCATCCTAGTGCAGAAAGAAAACTCCTCTTACAAGCTATAACCAGTCACAAGACTGCTCTAACTGATGATCAGAAAAGGTATTTATCAGTTTATATTTACTAAAATAATTGCATTTCCATGTTCTGCGTACTGTGGGAGACCAGATATAGTGAATGCAGGGTCCGGGGAGACCAGATATAGTGAATGCAGGGTCCGGGGAGACCAGATATAGTGAATGCAGGGTCCGGGGAGAGCGGATGTAGTGAATGCAGGGTCCGGGGAGAGCGGATATAGTGAATGCAGGGTCCCGGGTGAATGCAGGGTCCGGGGAGACCAGATATAGTGAATGCAGGGTCCGGGGAGACCAGATATAGTGAATGCAGGGTCCGGGGAGACCAGATATAGTGAATGCAGGGTCCGGGGTTTAGTAACACTTTAAGTTCCTCTTAAAAAAGTAAGTACAGATATGTATTGGTGGTGCCACTGCAGATCCGGACAAAAATC